CCCTCTCCTCCGCCCTCGCCGCTCGGCTCTTCTTTCTGGACGAGTGCTTCCTCCCCGCCCCTCCTTCCCGCTCTCGCCGCTTCGTCCTCCTCCCGCACCCCGGGTTGCTCCTCTTCCAATCTTTCTTCCCGCCACTGTAACACCTCCCACCCCGTCCTACCTCCATGCCCCTCACCGGGGGACGACAGGAGTGTGGGTGAAGTGGAAGGGGGGAAAAAGAGGAAAGAAAGGGAGGACGATGGGGGAAAGGGGCGCAGGAGGGCGCAGCTTTGTTGCTGGCGACAGGGGGCTGTGGGCGGAGAGCACGGGGGGTGAGGGTGAGCTTTTTGAGACGTCTCTGAACCAGGAGGGTGCGGCGGTGTTGATGGCAGCAGGGGGCTGTGGGGAAGCTAGCATGAGGATGAGGATGATGGTCAGCTTTGTCATGTGGTGCGGGGGAGCGATTGCTGGGTTCAGGCACTCACGGTAAGCCATGGCGATGTTGTTGGTGGATGTGTGGTTGTTGCGCTGGTGGCTAGTACCGGTGTGAGGGTATGGTCGTCTCATCTGTGGGATGACCTACAGTGTAAACGCCTGCTTCGTTGCTTTGAATCTCCTTAAAAGACGTGGTTGATTCGCTAGTGGCTGGCAGGTGTTGTGATGGTATGGTTCTCACCAGTGCGATAGTCCATAGTGCAACGCCTGTTTTGTGCACAAGTCACAACTTAGGTGCATGTTTGTGTCTTATACATACCTTTCTCCTGGCTGCAGATTTCACAGTGATGCTGGCAAGGCCAGCCGTTTGCTGCAAGCGCCATGCCCCTTCTCGCCATGACGGTGAGATGGTTAGGCAGCTGTGGGAGGCCTCTTTTGCAGGATGTTTTTCTTTTAAGGGAGTCTTAGTTGTTCAAAGATAGGTTTCGATGTGATTCTGGGCACCAGCTTTCCTGCTGAACATGGTGCTCTAGCATGTTAGGTACCCCACCCTCACTCGTTGTGCCATCCTGCAGGCATGGAGCGCCGCTGCTCTGCTGAAACCGACGGCTCACGTTGCGTTGGGTTGCAAAGAGGGCGATGCCTGTTGCTTCATCTGCTCCCAGGTTGTTCCTCAGCCTCTGGTTGGGTTGTTTGTTCCGCTTTGCAACCACAGTTCCATAGCTCGCATTTTCCCTTGTTTTGCCAGCCACCTTCGATATAATCTGTCCTGATGCAATGTATAACTTCTGCATGTCCCGCAGGGTCACTTGTTTGGGCCTGTACAAGTCGTCACGCATGGGCTATTCTGATGATGAATGGTGGGATGACCTTTCGCCGGATGAAAGGGATGACATACTAGATCATATGGCTGGTCCTTTGGTAGATGCTGATGATGACCATGGTCTCCCCAACAGCACTTGTAGTACATAAGATGGTTGCAGAAGCCTTCAGATATCATGTCAGCGTAAGCAGGCTGGTTGTGCTGATCGTTAACGTGATTTGTGTTAGGTACCGTAGTATGTACGGTACCTAGTCTGTCTGGGCTGTTCTTCTCAATTCCACCATTTTCTTTGCGGATCAAATTTGATTTTGAGGAAACAGAACCATTCCTATTGTAGTCCTACAGTAATCAACCTGACTCATGCCAAGCCCCTAGCAAGCAGCCACAGCAGCAGCAGCTCTGAGCTGCTCCCCCAGGACCAGACCAGAGCACCCTTGTGTGCCTCTTGCCTCTCGCCTTGCCTGTTCACCCTGTTGAACCGCACTCAACTGCAATCCACTCCTTAGCGAGCAGCCATAGCAGCAGCCCTCAGCTGCTGCTCCAGAGCTCCCTTAAAGCCTTTGCCCGTGCCAGCTCTGTTCCTCCATTTAACCCACTCAACCGCATTCAACCCTATCCAACCCCTACTCCTAGCGAGCAGCCACAGCAGCGGCCCTGAGCTGCTGCTCCAGAGCCCCCTTGCAAGCCTCTACCACGCCTGTTCATCCCTGTTACTCCAATCTTGAGCTGCTGCTCCAGCTCCCTTGCGAGCCTCTGCCTCTGCTCCCAGTGAACCACATTCAACCGCATTCAACTCCTAGCGAGCAGCCACAGCAGCGGCCCTGAGCTGCTGCTCCAGAGCTCCCTTGCGCGCCTCTGCCTCTGCCAGCTCTGTTCCTCAACCCTACTCAACCTCACTCAACCTTATCTTCCTAACGTGCCGCAACAGCAGCGGGCCCTCAGCTGCTGCTCCAGAGCGCCCTTGCGTGCCTCTGCCTCTGCCAGCTCTGTCTGGAGCGCCCTGTGGTCCTCTAGCAGGGCAGCCTGTAAGGGGTACAAAAAACAGAGATGGAGATGGTTGGAGAATTCGGGGTTTAGAATTTCATGGAAAATCAAAGAGATAGTGGGAAGAGGATGCAGGACAGCATGCCTCTCTGCCAGCTCTCTCTGGAGTGCCCTTGGTCTTTTAACAGGGCAGCATATAAAGGGGACATACAATGTAGGGGTGGTTAGAAGTTGGGATGGGATTGATGGTGACGGGATGAAATCGTGCTCTGTAAATCTCAAATACTGGCAGCACTGCAGAGCCACCCACTCTCCTTCTCTACCTCTCTCGCTTTGTGCCGCCACACGATAAGAGTGATTTTTTGTAGACGTCTAAAAAAATCAGTCATATCACGTCACTCTCTGTCTCTACCTTCCCTCGCTTTGTGCCACCACCCTCTCCCTCTTGCTCACTGCCTCTCTGCTCTGCAAGTTGATGCGCCTCTGACCCCCTACTCACCTTCACCACCAGCAGCTCTCTCTGAATCTCCCTCTTCCTCCCCCTCTGTGCCGCCACTCGCTCTTTCAACTGCCCCACCGCTGCCTCTGCTTTCCTCGTCTCCACCTCCTCTGCTTCCACCTGCCTCTGCTGCTGCTGCAGCGCTGCTCTTGCCTCCTGCAAGGGAGAGAGAGGAAGGAGAGGGAGAGTCTGATTCTGAGTTGGTTCTTAGAAGAGCTGCTGCTGCGTATGATTTTGTTGTCTCCGCCTGCTCTGCTTCCACCTGCCTCTGCTGTTGCTGCAGTGCCGGCCTTGCCTCCTGGTGGTGGGGGAGGGGGGGTTGAGAGGAAAGGAAAGCGGGAGGAATCCAGTCCAAGTCAATCTGTCTAGGAAAAGGCATGCCGTCCGAGGGAGGCATCAACCCTAAACACCTTGTCGTATGGTGTTTAGGATTGATGCCTGCCTAGGATGGCATGCCATCCAAAAGGAAGTGTTTTTTGCCCGCCGGTCAGGTCGACCACCGTCGGACCCCGTTTGGTTGAGACATTCCTGAATACGCAGCACAGCAACCAGAAACAAGAGAGGCAGCAGCGGCGTCCATTGCCGAGGGCGAGAGGCGCGAGGGGGATACCACACCCACCAGCGTCGCGACCTCGCAGTCAGGAGGGGGTTACAGAGAATGGTGGCTTAGAAAGAGTTCGCATCGCAGTACCTCTTTTGAATGCGCAGGATGGAGACCAGAAACGGCGGAGGCAGCAAAGAGCAAGCAGCAGCAGCTTCCATTGCCGAAGTGGAGAGGCGCGAGGGGGCTACCACACCCACCAGTGTTGCCACCTCCCAATCGGCCAATCCTGCGCCGACAGCTGTCAGGTAGGCGGTTACCGCCTGTTGTTAGGGGAAGGGGAGGGGGTGGTGTAAAATGAAGGAAGAGAATGGAATGTGCGAGTGACAGTGTGTGAGTGCGTGAGTGGGAAACAGTTTCGAGTCCTTACCATGGGCAGCACTTTGACCGTGACGCTGACTATGTGTGCCTGTGTGTGCCTGTGTGTGCCTGTGTGTGACTGTGTGCCTGTGTGTGCCTGTGTGTGACTGTGTGCCTGTGTGTGCCTGTGTGTGCCTGTGTGCCTGTGTGTGCCTGTGTGTGCCTGTGTGTGACTGTGTGCCTGTGTGTGCCTGTGTGTGACTGTGTGTGCCTGTGTGTGCCTGTGTGTGACTGTGTGCCTGTGTGTGTGTGACTGTGACAGTCTTTGTGAGGGGGGGCAGCAGCATCCTCACGTACCTTGAGAAGGGCGTCATGGGATTGCCAGGCATCGGCAGGGAGGGCGGTGACAAGATGCTTCCGCTCCACCATACTCTGTGAGGGTGGCTGTGGTTGCCGGGGGGGGGGGGGGGTGCCAGCAGCATTCCCACGTACCTTGAGAAGCCCATCGTGGGACGGCCGTGCATCAGCAGGGAGGGCACACACCAGGTGCTTCCACTCCGCTACACTCACAGGGTGGTTGGGACTGACTGTAACTGTGACTGTGACTCACACTGGTACCTTCAACAACCCGTCGTGGAACGGCCGGGCATCAGCAGGGAGGGCAGAGACTAGATGCTTCCACTCCGCCACACTCAGGGCTCGCTGCCAGGGTTGTCTGCCCCTCACCCACACACTGGGAGTAACATAGTGACAGTGTGTGTGTATGTGTGCCTATGTACCTTGAGAAGCCCATCGTGGGAGGGCCGGGCATCAGCAGGGAGGGCAGAGACTAGATGCTTCCACTCCGCCACACTCAGGGTGGGCTGGAAAGGCTGCCCCTCACAGCCACTCTGGGAGTGACTATTACCTTCAGCAGCCCATCATGGGATGGCCGGGCATCAGCAGGGAGGGCAGAGACTAGATGCTTCCACTCCGCCACACTCAGGGTGGGCTGGAAAGGCTGCCCCTCACAGCCACTCTGGGAGTGACTATTACCTTCAGCAGCCCATCATGGGATGGCCGGGCATCAGCATTTAGGGCAGAGACTAGATGCTTCCACTCCGCCACACTCAGGGTGGGTTGGAAAGCCTGAGGGTCAGACTTGGAAGTCTCATCCTCGATAGCAGTCGCTTCGTTATTAGCAGGAGCACCGGCACTGATGCTTGAGAAAAGGCCAGCAGAAGCAGAGGCAGCACCAGCAGCAGTGGGGGAAGAAATGCCATCAGCAGCAGCATCGGGGTGGAGTGGTGGAGGGGAGGAGAGGTGGAGGAGGTAGGAATCGATGAGGGCTGCTGCTGCCTGCAGGAGGGTGTAAAAGAAGGGAGTGAGGCACAGAGAAGTCAAGTGGCAGCACGGGCAACAGTAGCAGAAGTGCCGTCAGCAGCAGCATCAGGGTAGGGTGTTGGAGGGGAGGAGAGGTGGAGGAGGTAAAGAGTCGATGAGTGCTGCTGCTGCCTGTAAGGGGGTGAAAAGAAGGGAGCGGGGGAAGAGTGAGAAGCAGAGGCAGCAGCATCAGGGTAGGGTGTTGGAGGGGAGGAGAGGTGGAGGAGATAAGAGTCGATGAGTGCTGCTGCTGCCTGGGTGGGGCGGAGACAGAGGGGAGGGGAGGGGAAGGAAAGGGAGGGAGGAAAGGAGGGGGAGGAATCAGCAAATATACCATTGATAGGAGGAGGTAAAGGAGGTAGGCATTGACAATAGATGCTGCTGCCTGCAGGGTTGTCAGAAGAAGGGGGACTGAACGGATGAAAAGGGGAGAAAATGGGAGGGGACGATCCTCTCAACACTGCTCTGCACTACAATACACTTCCCAAAAGTACCCTAAGTGATGAGTCAACTTTTGAGTCGACTCAAAAAATAGACTCATCAAATGAAGACGGCCCTGTCAACACTGTTTTTCAGTACAATCCACTTCTGAAAAGTACCCGTAACAACAAGAACAGCAAGAAATCACTACCTGCAGGGCTTGCGCGCGATCAGGCAGAGTGGAGAGGTGCTCCTCCGATGCAAATCCGTGCAGCAGACCCTGATGGGGAGAGAGGAGGGGATAGAGAGTAGCGGGGAAGAGAGGGGAATGGCAGGGAGAAGAGAGGAACATGCTGAGGGGAAGCGATCAGGAGAGTGGAGCAGTGCTCTTCATGCAAGGCCGTGCAGTAAACCCTTATGAGGGGACAGAGGGAGGGGAGAGGAGCAGAGGTGAATGACCGGGACCATGATGCTAGGTAGATCAGGCGGAGTGGAGAGGTGCTCCTCGGATGCAAAACCCAACATCAGTTTTTCTGCTCCACCACCCCCACATATCCAACGCACAGCAGAGAAGTGTTTCGAACTGCAGCAAGCCATGGGCCTCCGTAAGGACGCGGTGAAAGTAGAAAATCGATCGTCAGTCACGATCGATATGCAGATTGGTTACCCTATTAACTACGATGTAACCATGCTACAGTACGTTTTTTGGCCAAATTTTCTGTGCAGTGCGTGAATGCGACTGATCACTGATAGCAGGAGATCTGTCAATTCTCAGGTGCGATCGTTACAGCGTTGCAGTCGCCATGTTTCGTCGATCGATCTGCCCACTCGATTGTGGGGCTCGATATTTGCAGACGATCCTGCGATATTTGCACTTTCACCGCGTCCTAAGAAAATTCAGTGAAGTGTAGTGGGCGGGTTTCTTGGTGGAGACCGGCACTCCTTTGAGTGACAGAAAAAGGAGCAACCCGGGTTTGAACCGGGGACCTATCGATCTGCAGTCGATTGCTCTACCACTGAGCTATGGCTCCATTGAGCGATACCTACCCACCTGCCTATAGGTCTCCAGGAAGAGCAGATCGTGCAGAGATGAGGATCAAAGTGAATGCGTAAACCCCTTTGTACCACTCCCCAGCCCACCTTTACCACTCCGTACCTGCGAGTCGCTGATCTCCAGCATGAGCAAATCGTCCAACGATGCGGATCATTTCAGCCCCTCTGCACCACTCCCCGCCTCGCCCGCACCACCCACCTCACCCGCACCACTCCCCGCCTCACCTGCATCACTCCCCACCTCACCCACTCCCCACCTCACCCACTCCCCACCTCACCTGCACCACTCCCCACCTGCACATCACTCGTCTCCAGCATGAGCAGATCGTCCAGAGACGACGCTCTACCAAACGCGTTCAACCCCTCTGCACCACTCCCCAACCCACCTCCACCACTCCATACCTGCACGTCGCTAGTCTCCAGCATGAGCAGATCGTCCAGGGATGCATCGGTGAAGAGCGCTCCTGCTCGGCTGTGGGAGAGGGAGAGGGGGGTGAGAGAGGGGAGATGGCAGGCCAGGTTGGGTTGGTTAGACAGGAGGGAGGAGCGGATGAAGCATGAGCATATCGTCCAGGGATGCATCGGTGAAGAGCCCCCCTGCTCGGCTGGGGGATGGGGAGAGGGGTAGGTTGAGGGAGGGGCGGTGATAAGGGAGGGGAGAGGGGAGATGGGAGGTTAGATAGAGGGGAAGCATGGGAAGATCGTCCAGCGATGCATTGGTGAAGAGTGCTCCTGCTCGACTGGGGGAGAGGGTGGGAGAGGAAGACAGGAAGGCGGGAAGGTGAGAATGGGAAGTTCCCGCAGCGGCTGCATGGGCCCGCTGGCAGCAGCAGCAGCAGCAGCAGAGGGATTGAGCACCATGGCAGAGCGCAGCAGCGCCAGCAGCGGCTGCATGGGCACGCTGGCAGCAGCAGCAACAGCAGCAGCAACAGGTCACATCCCAATTGCACCTGAACGCCCCTACGTGTAAGCATGACTCGCAATCAACGCTAAAGCGTGGCCTTGACCCCCTCACTCGCGTTGAGTACTGTCGCGCAGCGCAGCAGTGCCCTGCCCGCACAGTTTGCTTCGGCACACTGGCAGCAGCAGCATTCCAAAAGCCCCCTCTTTCCCCACCCTCTCCCCTCCGTCTCCTCCCCACTCCACCAGCGTTCACTCACCGCTGCAGGGTAGCCTTAACCCCTTCACTTGCGTTGAGCACGATAGCACAGCGCAGCAGCCCCAGCAGTGGTTGCATGGGCACACTGGCAGCAGCAGCAGCAGGCAGGGCCGCTGTCAGTCCCTCTAGAACCTCCAGGTGCTACACCCGAACATCACTCACCGCTGTAGGGTGGCCTTGACCCCTTCACTTGCGTTGAGCACTATAGCACAGCGCAGCAGCCCCAGCAGTGGTTGCATGGGCACACTGGCAGCAGCAGCAGGCAGGGCTGCTGTCAATCCCTCCAGGACCCGACGGTAATGCGCGGGAGAGAGAGAGGCGGAAGACGAGGAGGAGGTGGAAGAGGAGGAGGAAGAGTGGGGAGAGGGAGGAGGAAGGTCGGAGTAAGAGAGGGCAGCGAGGGATTTGGGGTCGGGCAGGTTGTGCTGAGCGTAGAAGGCGATTGCGCTGCCGATTTCCTTCTCGGGCAGATTCTTTTCCTGGAGGGAGGTATGGTGGGGAGGGGCAAAGAGAATGGGTGACATATGTTGATAGTGGCATATCTTGACCTTTCCTAGAGGGCTCTTTAGGTGACAGAATTAGGTGTTTGTTGGTTAGTCGCATACCTTAAACTTTCCTAGAACGCGAAGGAAGATGTCGAGAGGCAGGAGAGCGATACCATCTGCAGCCATAGCAATGGGGACACAAAGGGAGAACCATCATAAATCGATAGCATTCGGTTACGAGAGTGTCAGCCTGACACTCGTGCTTTGTGGGGAGTGTTCAGAGTCGACTCAAAACGCACTCGCGAGGCAGAGTGGGATAAGCACGAAGGAGAAAGATTGCCAGAACCGTGTCTTATATATTTGAAAATACCCTGCAGCACGTACCGCAGGTGTGAATGGGTGTGGTGCAGAGGTTGTGACTGGAGCCGGGGGGGGAAACACAGAGGGAAGGGGAGGAGCAATTATGGGGAGGGAGGAAGGGAGCAGCGGAGGAAGAGAAAAATGCTCAGAAGAAAGAAGAGAAGGGAGGAAGTAATGGTAGAAAGAGTCTCGCAATTTGAGTAAAGGGAATGCGACCCTATGTGGCAAGAAACATCCGAAGGAGATTATATAACCGAGGAGCAACATCCAAATCCATGAGCGTTACCAGGCAACCGCATGCTCTGCCTAATCGTAGATACTGCCTGGTTAAGGGAGGAAATACATGCATCTTTAAGAGGGTTACCTGGTAACCGCATGGTCCGCCAGCCTGTCGGCTGCCTCGTCCACGATTCCCAGTGCATCTGCTTCTGCCAGCAGGCCGGCACAGCTGAGAGGGGAGGGGAGGGGAGGGAGGGGTTAATGAAGGGAGTGGGTGGAGATGTGTTGACAGGAGGGCAGATCCGGAGGCGGGCTGTTTGCCTCGTCCACTATTCCCAGGGCGTCTGCTTCTCATCTCAGCACCGCAAGGGCAGCATCAGCGTGTTTCAGCATGCCTCCCATGGCAGCAGCAGCGAACGACAGCAGGTTCACACGGTACTTGCCCATGCCCTTCAAGCAAGCACGGCCCATGCCCTCACCACCACCACTCACCTTCTCAGCACCGCAAGGGCTGCGTCAGCATGCTTCAGCATGCCTGCCATGGCAGCAGCGGCGAACGACAGCAGCAGTGAACGTGCTTGCGCATGCCCATGCCCCCACCACCACCACTCACCCTCTCAACACAGCAAGGGCAGCATCAGCGTGTTTCAGCATGCCCGCCATGGCAGCAGCGGCGAACGACAGCAGGTTCACTCGGTACTTGCCCATGCCCTTGCGCGAATCATCGGTCATTCCAAGGAATGCGGCTGGGGAAGAGGAGGGAAGGGGAAAGCAGGAAGAGGGAGAGGAAAGAGAGGGAGGCATAGAGGTGAGAGAGGGATGACATGACAGCAGGTTCACACGGTACTTGCCCATGCCCTTGCGCGAATCGTCTGTCATTCCAAGGAATGCGGCTGGTGGGTGAGGGGATTTCGGGAGGGAGGGGGGATGCAGGGAAGGAAGTAGCGGGGTGAGAGAGGGACGAAGGGACAGCAGGTTCACACGGTACTTGCCCATGCCCTTGCGGGGAGTCATCTGTCATTCCCAGGAATGCAGCTGGTGGGGGAGCGCAGGGAGAGAAAGGGAGGGAGGGAGTGGGGTGAGAGAGGGACGAACGGACAGAGAGGTTATGTTATGAAAGGCGGCTGGAGAGAGTGGGAGAGCGAACGGCAAGGGGGGAGCTATCAACGATCACACACACGCGACACCCACATAACTCACACTCACTCTCACTCGAACTCTCTCACTTACACACACTCACTCCCACACACTTACCAGCACCAGAGGGCTGGAGCACCAAGTGGTAAAATCTTGAACATGGTGTTTCTAGAGTTTGTCTGAAACTCACCGGCACAAGCAAGGGCAGGAGCATCAAGTGGTGAGATCTTGAAATCCATTCCATAACAGAAGCTGGCGACCTTTGGAAGGAGGGGCGAGGGGGCAGGAGAGGGCATGGGAGGTGAGACGGGACAAGGGAGCGGGCGGGCAGGAGCATCAAGTGGTGAGATCTTGAAATCCATTCCATAACAGAAGCTGGCGACCTTTGGAGGGGCGTAGGGGCGGTGGAGGGAGGGCATAGCATGGGAGGTGAGACGGGACAAGGGGGGAAGCAGGAACATCAAGTGGTGAGATCTTGAAATCCATTCCATAACAGAAGCTGGCGACCTTTGGAGGGGCGTAGGGGCGGTGGAGGGAGGGCATAGCATGGGAGGTGAGACGGGACAAGGGGGGAAGCAGGAACATCAAGTGGTGAGATCTTGAAATCCATTCCATAACAGAAGCTGGCGACCTTTGGAAGGGGCGAGGGACAGAGGCAGGCACAGGGGAGGTGTTACGCGCTTTTGAACCAATACTCGAAAGCGTTTTATAAGTGTCCTAGGCCACTGAAAAGAATCCTAGGCCATTACAAGAAGCCGGCAACCAAAGTCCCTTGCTGCGCCACTTCCTCTCTCATCCCTCCATCTCAGCTACTCACATTTCCTGTTCACAGCCCATAATCTCACCTCTCACATTTGCGAGCTTATGGGTTTAACTTCCCTCTCCCACCACCCACCTGCTTGAACGCCCTTTCCCCTCCGGGTAACCCCGAGATATCAATGTGGTTGCGACCAGAATCAGGGTCCTCAGAAGACGATTCTTGGAAAAAGTCACTGGTAGGCGCGAGATGGGGGGAAGGGAGAGAGGGAATTCAATCGACTTGGAAAAACTGAATAAATCGGGGAATATTTCAGCAGGTTTTAGCGGTAGCAGAGGGAGGAGGAGAAGGGGGGAAGATGTGGAGATTGAAGAGGAGGAGAGAGTGGAGGGGACAAGTGAAGGTGGATTGAGGAGAGCGGGTATGGAGAGAAGGGAAGGGAAGAAGATGTAGCAGCAAACACATCTTGTGTTATAACTTGCAGAGAGAAAGTAGGATGAAAAAAAACTTGTTGCACTAACAACAAACAGGGTTGAAAGTTGAAACGAACACACCCAAGATAGGATTAGAAGCACTCACGTGCGTGCGTATAGTGGGTACTTGTGAACGTTGAAAGAGACTCCGGATACAGTCACTCCTGGTGCAGTCACCCCCGGTATAGTCACACTCAGGTCGCTCCTCATGCCGGCTCGCCTCAGCCACACGGCCTCCAACTCCTCCACCGACATCGATGCCACGTCAACGGCCATGCTCGCTAAGGGATAAGGATGGCGGGCTGCCACGTGTCAGCAGGCTACTGGAGAACGGAGTCTGGCGGAATCAACTGCACGACCCGTTAAGTCCCTGATTCCTTAAACAGAACAAGTGGAAGAGGAAAGGCAGAATTCTCGCCAGAGTCGAAGCAAAGCAATCCCGGTCGTTTGCAACCATTCATAGTAGCGCGTGACACTGGTACGCGCCAGTTTTGCAGCTAAAGGGCTGACCCGAGCAGCTTCTTCCGCTCGCATCCTGTCCAAACGGTTCTTCTTTTTCCGACGCGAGCAAAAAGAGCGGCTCGGTCGTCCGGCCAGTTCGCTTTCCCTCTGCGCCTCGAGGCGAACGACGTTTGTCGCCAGCACTGATGCGATCGAGGTCACGAATTCGACCCAGCATGGTAACCAGACTGTCCTCTTCGCCGGGCACTGTAGCGACGGCCCACTGGGTTCAGATTCCTTCGCTCGGCGTGCACGAACTTCGTAGGATGTGATTTGAGACATCTCAAAACACTACTTTTATCACGTGACTTAGTGGGATTCGAGAACAGGGACGGTGAACATTGTCGGGGTGAACGGTGCTCGAAATCAACGTCTCGGATTTCCTGGGGAGCGCCGGTCAGCGAATCGGCCTAACTTCAACGCTGTACTATATTTGTAACTGGTTCTTTCAATGCTCCCTCCAAGACTGTAAGGCAGCGTCTGCTCGACTAAAGTTGCGGCGACGAGCTTGCTTCGGAAGCATTGAGCAAGTCGCCGTGACAGTATGACAGCGTCTAGCACAGGCAACGCGACGCGATACTTGTCCAAGGCCGTCATGGTTATAGTACCGTAATAGTAGTCTCGAAACTATCGATGGGCGACGCGTGTGCCTTTCCGTGCGTGTCGGACGGTACTGTATGCTGGTTGGAACAAAACGAGGTTTGCTTTCAATACCAGAATGTTTGGTGAGGTACGTTACGGTTCCAAGCGGCGCAGAGCAGAAGGTGCTGGAGAGTTGGTGGTCTTGAGGGCGAGTCTGGGGCAATCGTTTGGCGCAAGACAGATTCTAGACTAGCGGTTCTCAAGATTTACCGTTTTGCACCGTGACTGAACACGTTTAACCGCACAAAACGAACGAGGTTGGACCGCCGTCAGGGCGACTGCTTCCGAGGGCGTTAAAATGAGTAGACACAGATAGGTTTTTTTTTTTGGGTTGCGAAGCAACCCTTTACAATCGATTTTGCCAAATTTTATTTTCATGTTTTATCATTTTTAATAAAACATGAAAATAAAATTCGTAGACTACAGTACCCTTCCCATACTGTGCGCATGTTGAAGAATTTTGAAAGATGTTCACAGTATATGTAACCATATGATTGTTTTTTTTTTTATACGAACGGCACATTTGTTGTTAGTATCAGTTTGTACAAACATAAATCTCTCAAGGACCTAAACAGAAAGAGGAAAAGGAGGGAAAGAAAGACTCAACAAGGAGAAGGGAAATGAAGAAAGAAAGGGAGAAGGAAAGTGAAACTGCCACAAAGAAACCAAACGCAACACACATAAAACCCCCCCTCAAGATACCCAATCAAAACCCCCAATCAAGACACCCCATCAAGACGTCCCATCCCACACCCCATTCCTCCCCCCCCCCCCCCCCCCCCCCCAATCACAACAGCGTATCCACCATGTACGGGGCCTCCACCCAAAGAGCCCCGCCTTCCACACCGACATCGTCCCTCTCCCGATCGACCAAGTCTACGTTAATTCCCCCCCATGGAAGACGCCGCCCGCAGCAGGATGACTCGGGCCTGCGCACGTTGTAACGCCACCCCGATGAGCGCCTTCAATGACCCTAAAAGATAAGCCGAAAACATAGAGTCGTCCTCCCGACAAGCCCCCCGCGACACAGCTAACCCCATGTGCGCATCCCCCTGCTGACGAAGCCACCGCCGAAAACGACCGCCGAGACACCTCAATATAATTGTTATTTGTCAGTGGTTTTGTTTTGTGCATATATGCTGTATTGTTATATATTAGTATGTTTTACTATTAAATGGTACTGTAGTAATGATAAATAGAGGCATGATGCATAAATACTACTATATGATGCATAATGTTTAATAGAATGATATGTCGTGAATCATGATGCACATGCATGCACATAATAAAGTGCGTGACAGTTAACGACCCAAAAACTAAGCTACCGCCATCCCCTGCCTAGCATGGGGGGGAGGTCAATAGCATAGATTTTGAATAATCAACTATCACATGAAACAACACAATCTGTAAATCTTAAAAAGATGGTCAGTCCTATCAAATCCAGTTCGAAGTGGCAACACACGAATCACTTTGTGCGCCAATGAACCTTTTGTGAAATGATAGACTTGAGCCATCTTTTTAAAATTCACAGACATGCATTGTTGATGCAATGGACATAAAAGAATGCACATGCATGCACACAATGACACACCCACACGCACTAAGGCAAACTACGGTAACGATAATAGAGCCGCATGGAAATGCACAAACAAAAAAGACTAGGAAGAAATGGAAACAGAAGATGCAAAATTTATGAACAGCAATCTAAATCAAATTCCACAATCCAACATTTCCCAATCGCTTGGCTCAATCATAAGGTAGTTAATCTGACGTACGCGCAACCTGGTGAAGAAAGAAAACAGGCATCACAAGACGAAGAAAGTGTCAAAACATATTGTTATGTTCTTACTCTAGGTTGTGTAGGGTCACACCTTAGAGGGTACAACCCAACTCTCTCGACACTCTTGTACCCCCTCTCCCTCACCTAATCATCATTCCTCACCTAGCTACTAGTGATTCTAACATGGTATTAAGAGCACAATGCTCCTTAGGACCGAATGTTTAAAAGGGCCCACCACTACTATTTCGATCTACTGCCCGAGTCACGCCCCTAGGAGAAACGCGAAATTCGAAATCGTGCTCTAGGCGAGACGGTTCCTTTTTCTGCCCTAGACGCGATTTTCCTTCCTAGTCACGTGCGACCCCCCCTGACCGCGCCTTAGCTGCCAGTACAGCCCGCGTAGGCCCGTCGCGAAGCCCGTACAGCCCGCGTAGGCCCGTCGCGAAGCCCTTACAGCCTGCGCCAGGCCGTCGCGCAGCCCGTACAGCCCACGTCAGGCCCGCACCCAGCTCGTAAAGCCCGCGCCAGGCCCGCACGCAGCCCTTACAGCCCGCGCCTGGCCCGCACGCGGCCCGTGTTACTGCTGCACTCGCTGCTGCTGCTGCTACACTGCTGCGCCTGAACTGCTGCTGCAGTGCTGCTGCCGCCTGTACTGCCCTGAAACTGCTGCTGCTACTTGCTGCAGCTGCTCCTCCTTGCTGCTGCTGCTGCTACTTGCTGCAGCTGCTCCTCCTTGCTACTGCTGCTACAGCTAGCGCTACTCACTGCTGCTGCTACTGAAGCTAGTGCTGCTACAGCTAGTGCTACTGCTGCTGCTGCTACTACCGCACTTGCTATAGCTGCTACTGACTGAAGCTACGGCTGCTACAGCTAGTGCTACTGCTGCAGCTCCTACTCCAACACTTGCTACAGCTAGTGCTACTGCTGCAGCTCCTACTCCAGCACTTGCTACAGCTGCTCCTGACTGAAGCTACTGCTGCTTGACTGAAGCTACTGCTGCTACAGCTAGTACTACTGCTGCAGCTCCTACTACTGCACTTGCTACAGCTAGTGCTACTGCTGCTCTGCCACTGTGTCCGAGCCGCGCCGCCCAGCCCGAGCTGTCACTGCTGCTGCTACTGCAACTACTACTGCTACAGCTAGTGCTACTCGGTCTACTGCTGCTGCTGCTGCTGCTCGGTCTGCTGCTGCTGCCCGAGCCGCCCTGCTACTGCTGCTACTGGAGGGAGTACTGCTGGGAGTGGTGGAGGTGCGGCCTCCCACCCCCACCGAACCGCCCTGCTGCTGTTACTACTGCTGCTGCTGCTACTTGTGCTACTGGGAGTGGAGGAGGTGCTGCTGGGAGTGTAGGAGGTGCTGCTGGCGCTGTAGGAGCTGGAGGTGCTGGACCTGTCAGAATGTATTTGCTGTCTAGCCTGCAGTGGGGTACTCTGTAATGAATACAACCCAATTTAGGGTGTTGTACTTGTATCCCAACTCTTGCTAGTGAAACCCCATTCCTCTCCTTCCAAACCTCTCGATACTTTTCCTAAACTAGAACTCAACTACCAAGGCTCCTAAACTATGGCTCCTAAGCCAAACTCTCGCTAGTTCTTTAACATGTTATCAGAGCTTAACGTTCCTGGCCTGTGGGCCCACTCGATTCCGCTGCCCTACTGTGTGTCGCGCGCCCTGTGGCGCGCGACATCCCATTTTTCTTCCCGCCACGCGCTCCGAGCGCGTGGCGGTTTTCTGCCCGCCGTGCGCCCCGAGGCGCGCGGCGGGTTCCTACCTCGTCGCGGCGTCTTAGGGGCCCGCGCACTGGCCCCGACCGTCGCCTCGTCGAGGCGTTTTGGGGGCCTGCACGCAGGTCCCTTCCGTCGCCTCGTCGCGGCACTTTCGGGGCCCGCGAGCCGGCCCCTCCCGTTGCCTCGTCGCGGCGCCTTAGGGGCCTGCGCGCGGTCCGCTCTCGTTGCCAGTCGAGGCACTTTTGGGGACCTGCGCGGCTCCCTAGCACATCGCCCGTCAGGGCACAATGGGGGCCGCGCCCTTCCCCTCCCCTCCCTCCTACTTTCCGCTGCAGCAGCCGCCCCTGGAGCCGCCGCCCCTGAAGCAGCCGCCCCTGGAGCGGCCTGCCTTGCAACAGCAGCCGCCCCTGGAGCAGCCGCCCCAGCAGCAGCAGCCCCTGAAGCAGCCGCCCCAGCAGTAGCAGCCCCTGGAGCAGCCGCCCCAGCAGCAGCAGCCTCTGGAGCAGCCGCCCCAGCAGCAGCAGCCCTTGGAGCAGCCGCCCCAGCAGCAGCAGCCCCTGGAGCAGCCGCCCCAGCAGCAGCCGCCCCAGCAGCAGCAGCCCCAGCAGCAGCAGCCCCTGGAGCAG